GCCTCTTCTGGATTCAAGTGGATGTGGGTTTGAGAATACCACTGACCAAGGTAGGACAGTGCTGTGAAGCTCTGCTGTGATTATCCTCATCACGTTACTAAGAATTACGTCAAAGATCCGTATTTGGGGCTGCTCCGGAACTGTGGAATAAATGATAGCCAGGGTTATCATCGCAGGGCGTGGGCATCCCAGACTCGTACCCGTAAGTTTGTGTACGAATTGTTGTGAGGATTGGTCTTCATGCAAGTCTTTCGCAGGTATTTTGGAAATGTTAGGTTGCGGTAAAATGTTACTTTGAGGTATTTTCGATAGGCCTCGTTTCTCACTTGACTGCAATTGAAGAACTCTTTGAGAACCTCTTTCATCTGTCGGTTACTGACATAAAAAGCTCTCGGAGTTGTTTTCGACGGTTTAGGAGAAAGATGTCAGAGTTGGTAGTGACCTTTCGATCTGTAGCAACAATTCGACGTACCTCTCATGAATTCAGCATGAAAGTCAGTGCCGTGTTATCAGGGTAAGCGAACTTTCTTGACGTTGGCGGTGGCATATCGCAGGCATAATTACTGAGAAGCAAGGATAAGAAAGCTCAACTTCCGGCAGTCCGTCATTCAGTGTCTTGACTGAACAGGTCTGATCACTTAAGTGTACCGTGACCTCCGACTTCTCCACACTGAGGATGGGAGGCACACGGAAATTCGACATTTTAGACCTTTGTCATATTTCCGAACCGTATCGAAAGCGCAAGTAATGTGTACAGCAACTACCCCATATTTGGCCTTCTTTGGAAGCTGCATTCGATACTTGATGTTCATGCGATAATTTGATCAACAAACAGTTGAAGAATCTAGCGGAAGATGGCAGGAAAATATTTGGAGAATTCGTGGAATATGAGAGGGGGCAAAATATCAATAAATCGTTGGACTGCTTCGAGGTCAGTGAAAATCAAATTAGGAAAAACTGTATCTACATTAGTAGACTGGAAATTCGATTGTGGGCCAATTGTCCCCTCTCTGTATACACTCAATTACAGATGATGCATCGACGGTGAACCTCGATCGATGCCTTAGCGGTCTTACGTAATCACGTCTCATCAGGGCAGACGTTGATATGCTTTTCCACTGACATGCATGTCACATAATGGATTCACATGTCGCGTTTGTCGACGCGTGTAATTGCACGATGTGCCTGTCCATGACGATTAAAGGCCGGAAAGGACGGACGATCTCTGCGCAGAGGGTTCGTACGCTCACTCAGTGCCGGTTTGGCTCGTCGACGGTCGAAGCCGTTAAACAGAGTCGTTAAACCGCCGTGACGTAGGCCGGTCATCTGGTTGGTTGGCGAGTCTGTTCTTCGACGAAAGCGGCCAGACTCCACTCGTGACAGCTCTCAAGTAAAGCGCAAATGCTCCTGACAGGCTGGCACTCGAGAAAAACCTTTAAATCGTCCGCCCAAAGCCCACCCTCCTCCGCCAACCTCGTCTACGTCTGCCGAAAAACCGACTTCCTTCAGAAGAGGAGGCGTTTTTCGTTTCTCAGCGGATGGAAAATTTTTGAGTGCCTGCTGTTCCACTGCAAAATCGGATTCGACCTGCCGCAAAAGGAACACATCTCTCGTGGTTCGTTAGATTTTGGTTTAAGCGTGTATGTCACATTGCTGATTGTTTTGCGAAAAATGGTCGTCTTACCTCTTCATCTTTGTTTCGAATTTTCCTTTTCACCACTTGTATTGCTCACTGAAGGTTCACTCAGATCTTGGCTTTCTCCAACGGCTACAAATATAGCCATCTTCATGTTTTCAGAATGATAACATATATCAGGTAGAAGTTTTGGAAGCGATTCGCAGGTCGTGAAGGATGTTTTTTACCTGTTCGTTTTCAGACATCGTCCGATGGATATCGACGATGTCCTTCATGTCTCAGAAAGAACCACCGCCACCATGCTCCATTAAAAAACTAGGAGACAGCACAAAAACACCACTGTGCTTTCGTCGGGAATCAATAAGGACTTAGGGCATCAAATCGATTAGTCGCTTCTACGGCTTTCGACTTTCTTTCTAGTCACATCATTTACATTTTTCCCTCCTTCATACTCATTCTGCTAAAGCTGACTCTATTTTTGTCAGCAGCAAAAATGCTGTTCTTAAAGACCAATCTATCCCTAGTGGTTCGTTGACAATTTCGTTATTGGCTGCAATATGATACTCGAAAGGTTAGTTTCCGCATAGTTCGTTGGTTGCACTCCACATTCGTTATTTGAACAAGTCCGCCAGGTTCATTATTCATCATTCATTATTTGAACAAGTGATAGATCATCATCATGCGTCTCTTCCAATTTATCATCCTCTTTCCCTTCATATTCATCTTCTTCATTCTATCTCTGTCGATATCTTAATGTTTCTCTTTCTATTCTTCTTCAACTTCATTCTCAGATTCAACCTTCACCATTTTCATAATCTTTGTTAACCTCATCACCATCGCGTTCCTTTTCCTCGTCATTAATGTTGGCCGACTGGCCGGAGGTATGTTGGCTAGCAACAGCAGGAGAACCTTCGGCGCTGGTGGCGGTATTCTGCCAGACGATTGAAGTAATCTTATACGTTTCTCGGCAAAATCCACCACATCTTTAGACGACCTCTTGACTTTTTTCCTTTCTTCCAGAAACTCGCTTTTTTTCTTACATTCTTTCGTGGATGGTTGTTGCCTTTTGACGACTAAAACAAATGATCGAATTTACATATTCGTTGTACTGTTTCGAAGATAGATTTGATTGACGCCTAGAATTTTTACCACATTTGTCTTTTAATAAGCATTCGTCTGAGTGAACAACAAGCTTGTGTAGACAAACGGAAGTTTTTCGAGGCGTTCGAGGTGTTAAAAGCTTATGAAAACACAGACTGCTGGAAAGTATAGAAGTCAGTGAAGCACTGCTGTAATATCCAGTTTTCACATGTCCATATACGCAGAAGACTAAATCTGCGCAGAGCGGTTGTCAGCTTGCCATCCTCTCCAATGAATGGGTCCGTGCTGTTTACTTCTCGAACCACGTTCGAGGCATCGATACGAGATTTACTCCTTCCTGCTGTTCTGGTCTACAGATGAAATTCAGTCAGACCAGTCAATGAGCTGCGAATGCCAGATTACTAGTTTTTCACCAATGGTTGACAAATGCAATGGGCTTTAAGTTTAAGGCCCAGAGTAGAGCGACAGTGATTCCTGAAAGTTCCTCAGCCTCTAGCCTTAATCAGTCAATTAAAAAACGTCCGACCCTTCTGCTTAACGACCTTTTTTGATTCTGCAAAAAAATCATGGTCATAAATCAAAAGTCCTGCGACCTCCTGAAGTGAAACCGTCGGAAGCCGCGCCGAAAGACCCTGTGTTACTCCTGAACGACGACCCGGGCCCTCGACTTTGCTGCAAAC